CGCGGGGAGCAGTTCCATTTTTCTCCGTAAATTCTCCACGATATGCGTGGACCTCTCTAAAGAAAGTCCGTACTCCTCAAGCGCAGTTATGCAGTGGGGTATGTCGGAGAGATTCGAGGCGATCGCGACAAGATTGGCTCGGATCGTTTCGTCAAGAAAGAGATTCTTTGCTTCCTTGATTGACCCCGCATCTTTCTCATCCAAATCTTCAAGCACGAAGTTCCTCAAGATTTCGAAATTCTCGGCGTAGTACTCCGCTGTCTTAATCCAAGAGCCCCACCGTGTCAGAACCGGCTTTGGAGGCAGTGGTAGCTCGACGCGCTCCCTGAAGAGTGCGATCCGGCACGGGGATTTCAAGAGCACCATTTTCATAGACGCAATCAGTCGATCTACTTTTGGGAAGAGGGTACGGGCTTCTTCCGCGACTCTGTGCAAGCCGTGAGCAATGCACGTCAAGTGAATCAAGCGCGGGAACAAAATTTTCAAACTCTTCGCTGCTTTCACCATGTAGCGAGCCGCGTCCGTCACGAAAAGAAGCACACGATCGTGTTGGACGCCTTCGGGCCAGACGAATTCCATCGACTTTACGAAGATTTGAGCGATGGAAGTCGCGTTGCATCTCTCGAGTAGCTCACACATCAAGAGGTGCCCCTTACCAAGATGAGTCCGCTCCAACTTGCCGACTACGATGTTTGCGATGCTTCGTCCTGCACTGTCAGTCGTTTCATCAATCGAAACGTATATTTTACATGATCCGATCTCTTGCCGTATTCCGTCAATCACTCTCGCATGTATGAGCGGCGCGTAATTCTTCCGGAGCGTGGACTGATCGGGGACTTTCATAGAGGAATACTTCTCCAAGAAATCTTTCAAGGCGGCATTCGAAAGCTTGTGGAGAGGTATGTCCGCATTCATGAACGCACTACAAAGATCCATGTAGAAGTCGTTTCGCTTGGACCATCCCGACGAATCAAAGGAAAGCTGCTGTTGCTTCTCGTTGCCAATGCTTTATACCGCACCGATCGCTCGACAGCATCCTTGTGATTCTTCGTTGCAATATGTTGACCGATTCGGAACTTCGTTGGTTCCGTGAATGACTTGACGCACAGTTTACACAGGATAACGTTGCCGTCATTGGAGAATATGTCCACTCCGAACACGCTCACCAAAGCACTCGGGCTCATTTTCGACTTCGGCATGATTCTCGTTCAGCTCCTCAAAACATTCGATGTCGAGAATCGCTGGAACGCCACGCCGTGACCTGCAAGTGCACGTTAGCGATACAGCGTGCTTCCATATCGTCTGTGTGCGGTCCGACTCGGAGGCAGCCCCACGAACTTCATTCGGATATATCGAAACTACTACTTTTCGCTGAGATTCAATGGAAAGGTCTCCGATAGTGCAGTCGATTGTATCCAATTATCTCTATGAGAATAAGCTGTCACTGTCCCGAAAGCTTAGATAGAGCCATAGCATGAATTTTAAGTCCCGGCTGAGAGACGGAGCTCTCGCCATGGCGAGGGACGACTGAATATGCTCAAATATACAGAAAATATCGAAATATGCGTTAAGCTCCGAAAACCCCCAAATATGCGGATATGCCTTAAAATATGCGTTTCATAGAATTCCCATCCCTAATCATAACGAATCTAAAGTTCCCTGGAACACAAAACCAGGCGCGCCCCCTCCCCTCTGGGCTAGCGATGCTGACTTGATTATCACTTCTCTCTGACGTCGGCGAGAATCGGGTATAGAATGAAAATAGCGGAATCTCGCCGAATACCGAGATAGCTCTGATGCGGCCGGCCTCCTCAGGAAGGCGACAATTCAATCGACGGACAGTGCGGCCTTCGGCTCCATCAAGAGAAGGTCAGAATTGGACTCATAGTGGATGTGGGGAGCTCTCAGTCCCTTTTTCGAAATCTGGATGTCGACGAGCTGAACAGGTCCCATGGCGGTGATCGTTGTCGTCGCTGGCTCCCTCGACTTGTCGCTTTGGTCTCGAGCACGCGGACGCGTCTCAGAGTGATAACATTGCGACGGCATTCCATTTTCCACTTTTTCCTGGATGCTTTTTTTCGTTTTTCCATTTGCAAGCGAGCCTGTTCCCCCTGCCGACTGAGTTCGCTTTGCTACATTGCCGTTCCCTCCAGCCAGCCGGCAAGCCCGCCCGCCCGACGGCGTTGTGACTGCACGAGGTGTAATGTAATGATCCACGACGCTGCAGAAATGTTAATGGCGAATTTCGCATTCTTGCGAAAATATGCCACATGCTCTTCCCGACTCGCGAGCTAGCTAGCCGGGCGACGGGCTGGCTCGGATGTAATTCCCCCGTTCTCCCAGAGGCATTGAGGAGAACCTGCAGCGGCATGGTGCGATGCTATCACTCGCTCCATCGTAATACGCATTCTGCTACTTCAATGAAATTTCTCTCGCATCGCTTTGCTCTCGAATGGAGACCGCGTCTCGCGCGTCTCACTATTGAACAATTCCGCTCGCGCACTCCATTCCAATCGAGGATTTATATAGTGTTTTTTCTTGGAGCATCCGAGAACCGTCAATTATTTTTCGAGACATCTTTGTTCCGACCAGGACGGGCTGCACAATTTCGAGGCATTTTCTGTCCTAGATGTCAACCAGCATCGGATTTTTGGAGCATCCCTGAAGAATTGTTCCGAAGATGGGGTGCAAGGGAGCGCTCCCACCGCCTTCCGAGATCCGGAACATAGCCGAGATACTCACGAGGTCCACAGGTCTTCACGATCTCAGTACGCTGAACTATAGAATCGGGGCTGTAGACCGGGAGGCGTCAAATCGCGGTCGAACATTGATCGTCGGGACTATGTTGAAAATGTGGTCGAACGAGCCAGATCGATTGGAAATCTTAGAACGCGTCCGGTCGACTCGGATTGCATCGCCGAAGGCCGACGGGAATTAGCGAATTCACGAACCGCTCGAAACTCGTGGAATCCTCGTGGATTCCCGCAGCGTGCGCCTGCTCAAAAAGTCTGAGCGTTGACTAAGCCAAGGACTGTGATGGGTGGTAACCTCATGGGAACCCTTTCTTCGACCTGGATGGCGGAACGCGTGAGATCTGACAAGGGGTCGAGAGATCTGCCTGAAGCCTTCGCTCCCTGGGATCAATTGCGCAACATCTGTAGAAGTTCCGTCGCCGTAGACGGCAATACATTTCAGCAACGACGTTCCCTGCGCCAGCTAGAGCTGCGACAACCACAATGTTCAACAACTCTGTCGTCAACGCAGCAGCGTCGGCGGCAATAACAGCGAGGAAGACCGCCGCGGCATCACAACATTACGTAAAGAGACGTGGAAAGAAGTTTTGATTCTGGCTTGTTTACGATGACGTTGGCCTCTGGAACACCAGGTGGCGCCGCTGACCTGTCGCTGGCACATCCGGTCTTTTTGTCACGCGGAAAACCACTCTATTTTTTCTTGTCTTTATTCGACCGTGCGTGGTTCCTCCCATGGTTGCCCCTTTCTATTGACGAAATTCGATGATGATACAGTATCTCGGGCGACTGACGGCGTATCATCTGCACCGCGTAAGCAATTGCGCAAGAGCGAGTCGCTATAATGTTGCAACGCCATAGAGAATACATTGTTTCTGCTCGGAGAGCTCACAGACTTTGTAACGGCGCAGTCTTACGTCGCGAATTTCGATCGCGGCTACGAGGAAGGACGACTTCGACGCCCTCCGGTGCTCAGAGGAAGGCGCAATGTACTGCGTCGGATGCCTATGCGCCGATCGAATATTGTCACAGCTAGCTGTTGAAATCTCCACACGGAGACGACGAATAGGGTGTCGTAATTCGTTACAACTCCACAATTTTTCTGGGCGCGAATGCTCCAGTGCGAGAGAGCTTGCCTTCCTAGCCGTGAGCTCGTTTGAATTCCATCGAGCCAAAAGTGTGTTTTTCTGCGTAGCCGACCTATTCCGCCCACAAGGAAGAGATTGGAAGTCCCACTCAAAACGGTTGCCTCAAAACTTGAGGCGTGGGCGAAAGTGTTCCTGAGTTTGACCGCGGAGCATATCAGCTCTCTGAAAGAAGTCGAGGGACTGGTTCCGTGGGCGATGACAGAGAGCGCGAAGAGATTAGCCTGACCTCCGTTCGACTCGCAGGTCCCGAGCAAGAAGTCTCCTGCGATCATAATCATCACCACAGTACACGTCCTGGTCGACTGATTTCAGGAGAATCAAGCGCGATTCCGGTCGAAGATGTCAAACTCTTTAATCGGAGAACTGTGTATTATTATCTGCGCATCCTTCTCTGCTATATATTGTGCGGAAGCCGAGATGATTCTTCCCCATTCCCGACTCTTCGGGGACAGAGCGCCGATCGGGAGACCCTCGAGGGCTTCCTCCTCAGAGGGCTTCACTGAAAGAATAAATATAAAAATTCTATTTCTCGTCGCCGTGGCTTGTGGCTATCTTTTTCTCATGCGCGGCTTCCTGCTCGCCTGGCTGCCCGCCTTTCGAGCTGCCCGACTGTCGACCGGAAGCACATTCCCCCTCCCCCTCTTCCCCTTCGATTGGGGCGTAGGAGAGAAGCGGAAGTGGGCACGGATTAGAACCCTCCTCTTCCCCTGGCTTCCTACTGCAACCGCGGTATCCTTCGTTTCTTCTCCGTGTCCCACGATTTTTCCCGCTCTTTTATCCCGTGCCCTTCCTCCTTGCGGCTCTGGCCGAGGAGTCGGAGGGTGGAACGGGGGTAGGCAGCACGTGACCGATTCTTAATTGCGATGGCAAACGAAAAAATGCCAAACTTTTAGGCTGCGAAACCTTCACCGTAATGCTCGCTCGTTATCTTACTCCCGGAGGGAGTCTTCGTTCGTGGCTCGGACGCCTGTTCTGGGCTCGATCGCGAATTGTTTCCCGTGTGTTTCATCGTCAATCAATCACCGACGAATAGAATTGGGCTGGAGTTCTTCCTCCTAGGATTCACGTCGTCGACGGGAGGCAATGAGCCGACTCTCGGGGAGGACAGAAGCGGAGCGAGCAGAGACTCCGACGATTGACGGTGAATTCCTTCACAGTAGACGAAGAGCTGCGGGACAAAGTTCACTCAAGTCAGCACTATCTCCGTGCGTATCTGCTGCTGCGCGAACGGTTGGAATGCGCTGCCGGGTGTCCGTCGGCAAGCCAGCCAACCGAGCCTAGGGCCCGCCAACTGAGCGAGCGGACGAGCAGGCGGGCTGGCAAGCGGTCGAGCGAGGAAGACGCCCCGAAGCGCCGAGCAAGCCGCTGGCTTGCCTGCAAGCAACCCTTTCGGTTCCCTCTTGATTTGCCTCGTAGACCCTACTCAGCGAATTCCGCCTCTCCATCTATTTTTGTTTCTCCTTCTTCTCTCTCTGACTTGCTTAGTCTCAACTCTCCTCCCCTCAAAAATTCGACCTTTCCTTCTGGCTTCAATTGAATAGAGTTTCCTATACCCTCGATGTTTAGGTCTCCTATTCTGGCTCCCTTCCGAGAGGCAATCCCTTACCCACCCCCGCGAGTCGTCAGTCCTAAACTCCTCTGTTTCTCCCTTTCCGCTCCTCTCCGGAAGTCCCGATGAGTTTTCGATTCCGTTCCCTGGTGGCTTCTCTTCGGGTCTGATGATAGAGCCTCGCTTATTACGATGAAGACGTCGTACGTCAGGCAGGTGAATACGGCATCCGGTTCGGATTTGACTTGGTACTGGTCTCAAGTCCGAGACTTCATATGGGATCGGACTGAGGAATTCGCCGTGGAACGGATAGAGGAGGGATGAAAATTCCCCGGTTAAGTCACCAGCTCTCTCCCTCTCTTTCTCGAAGTTCCCCGACACTCTCGCCCTGTCAATATCTGACACTCTGGCCGATCGTGGAGGAACGGACGGCACGGACAGCCACGCTCCTGCCATATGATAATCGCCGTGCGAAGTTGCCACAGGGCTAAGCCGGTATCTCCTCACAATCAGTCGGTCCTCCTCCGCTCTTAGCGCTCGTACTCATCGATGAATCATGGAAGTGACTTCTCCAGCCTAGACTCGGCACCGAAGTCCCTCATGGGCGCGTCGCACGCATGTGCCGTCTCGCACCTGTGAGCCTCGGTCGTCCGACCGTTCCGGATGTGCTCCAGCGACTACGGAAAATATTCTAGAACGACTCAATATCAGATCGGAGCACGTCGTAATGAATCCGTTAGGCGCAGTAATTC